AAATAGTAAAAAAATGGAAAAGTAAAAAAGGTAAAAAAAAAAAAAAAAAAAAAAAGAAAAATTATGCTTTATAACTCAACATTCTCAGTCCCAGGAAGACCCCAACAGTTTTCCACACAGTAACTGAGTTGCCCCATCTGTTTGGAAGAATTCAAAAATTTCATTATAACTGCCCCATTTGACAAGTTTGAGATTCTTTCTTCACCATCTTTTATCTTTCTACTCTTCGTATAGAGACTAATGGTAGTATTCTATCTTACACTGGGGCTGTTAAAGTTTAGAAAACGGAAATACTATTTTCATAGAGGCCCCAGTCCACTATGAAGTTTCAAATAGCCTTTGGATTCCATGAAGTCTATGGATAGTTGCCGTGTGTTCTATTTAATGGCAAATAAATGAATAATTATTGATACCAAAATCAATATATGAGTTTCAGTTTCATAACTCAATGTATTTTTTCTCATTGAACACACCTACAGCAAGTCTTTGGGTCTCTTTTCATTTCCACTGCTAGCTAAAAGTGAAGTTCATTTTCATTAACAAAACATCTTTTTTCCCCCAAGACAAATATCTTCCCGATTTGCCTCATCTAAAGCAATAAGGACAGTCTCTTAAATGGCGTACTTGAAAAGTCTCAAAAGCAGTGGTGTGCAAAAGTTCACCCCTGTAATTCATTTCAAGAGGTGAGAAGGAGCTCTCACTTGTGCTAACCCTAAGGAGAAAGCAATGGGAACAGAGTATTTCCTGCAGCTGCCCTGGAAAGAAATCAGGGAAGTAAATATCTTTGTGATACTGCTAATGATGAAGAAGAGATTACATTGTAGATGGCTACCATCACCACCTCAATCAATTAGATCCTGTACTAAACTGGGCCTTCATTAGCTACATTCTTTGAGACTTTATTTTTACTTAATAAGTGAAAATTCTGGTCATTATTTAGAATTGGTTACTAATTACCTAACCTAGCGCTACACTTGAATGAGTCATAGAACTTCAGCATCTGTGTTAAACATTTAGTTCTCTATATGGTAATAATATTCACATGTACATGGATAGCAAGGACAAATCAGAGTAGTTCTGTGGTCCTAACAACCCAAGACTGATTCACAGCATTTTAAGACCACGTAAGAACAGGGTTGATTCACTAATGTTTTGAGAACATCGGTCCATCTAGCTTTGTGTTTAAACAATCACTGCCATCCACACCACAGCAATACAAGCGTTTTCTGACCAATTCCATCTCATTACAAAAGTGATGAAAGTTACTCAGGGTACGGCAGTGAGAAAGGGATACCTGTGCATTTCTTGAGTGCTTTAAGCACTGAAGAACTGCTGTAACTGATCTGAGTTTTTACAGAGGATTAACCAGTTGCTCTTTCCCTTTGGTGAAAACGTTCCTTCCTTCTAATCAAGTCAAACACGCATTTCTCTATTCTATCTCTACCTTCTTCAGAAATCATGTCAATTTTGTTTACTAAGTCTGAAAGACACTCTTTTATTGGCATCTCACTGCAGTTTATTCCTTTAAAAAAAAAAAAATCTGTCTAGCAAAATATTTAAATACAATGTTTCATTCTAATCACCTAGCTGCAATGCCTTAAGCCTATTAACACTACTAAACCAGGTAGATTTATTGATCCCATGTGGCAAAAAACCCCAAACCAGACAAAACCAGTAACTATTACTTTTGCTAATGCGAAATCAAGGTGTCACTACAGCGGAAATTGATGACTCCTCCTAAAGCCTATCTTTTCTTACATCAAGTAAAATACAAAGCTTGAGCTTGTTAAACAATCTATTCCTATATATATATGAAAAACTGAAGGGGTCTATTTATAGAATCGCAGAATCATTTAGGTTGGAAAAGACCTTTAAGATCATTGAGTCCGATCATAGACCTAACACTGCCAAGTCCACCACTAAACCATGTCCCTAGCAGTACATCTACATGTCTTCTAAATACCTCCAGTGATGGTGACTCAACCTTTCCCTGTTCCAATGCCTGATAAACCTTTCATTTGTCCACTTATAATCACCTAACCCTAATCCTGAGGAAGTCCATAGTTTCCAAATGGACCCCAAAGCAAATGGGAAGACAGGCTAGCGAAACTTTCTTAATCAGACCGTCAAAGGGAGCTAGGGCTTGATTCATAAATGGGACTTAAACACCCATCCTTAACATTTTGCTGATGATTTTCTGCAGAATTCACCACTTCAGAAACTACCTGAGGTTCCTTGCACACTCACTAGCACAGCAACATGTGCCAAACTTTTCCAGGTCCCACCTCAGGATCCAGCTCCCACTGAAGCATCCTAACAACAGTGTGAAGGAATTATGTTCACATATAAACGTGTGCTTCCTTTGCAGCTATGTGTATTTATGTAATTTTGGAGCAGTGGAACAAGTTCCAAAGAGAGGAACCGACCGATACATGTACTCTTCCATACTCTTACTGGTATCAAAAGAGCATTTTTAATGGAAAACTGGGTCCAGCTGCCTGCTCCAGATCTGCTAGGGAGAGGATCAAAGTGAAGCAAGGCCTTTCTGCCAAAGTGTCTTAAATATGCATTTGATCTTTTTTCTTAAAGATTTATATTCCAACACTTTAAAAAAGCTGATGAGAAAGTACTCAAATTTGTATGTGCTTCTGTTTGCATATAAAGACTACGCTGGCACATACACAAAACATGTCAGTGCCAATTTTCCAGGAATTAAAGACAAAGTTAAACCCCTCTCGTCCCTATGCAAAGAAATCTTCTACTTCCCAGAACACGTCTCACTGTACAATAGGATCTGATTGTATGATCAGTAATACACGTTTTCACCATTCAACAGCCTGCGATTCAGCTCTACAAGTATTTCCTGCACAACATTGCCTGGCTGTGATTTTGAAGTGGAATACGATTGCTCTACCAGACATTACACTCAATGGAAGGAGAAAACAGAAAGGCTGCCAGAGCCCTGAAGTTGGAACAGAGTTTGTAAAGTGACTCTTAATGCCAGGACAGCTAGAATATTTCATCCTTCTCCATTTCTTTCTTCTTTCTTCCTGAGAAATTTCCACTATGCAGCCCAAGTTGACTAATCATTACCTGGGGCTATATCTAGGTACTGGGCCTAATTAGTTAAAAATACAACACTGAATTCCTCTCAAGCCTGCAATTAAGACACCACATTAATCTTAGTCAATAACTTCATTCTGCTTGTTTTTCATCCTGGAATAAAGATGAAGTGATGGACGAGTAGTCCTGGAGTCTAATCCTCTTTAATCCCACAGACACTAGTCTAAGGGAATGAGAAGGCACACTTCTCCTTGCTCTCCTGCCATATCTCACCCCTGACTTGGAGCAATCAGCTCCAAGAGAGCACCAATTAGCATCTATGTTCTCTGGTCTTCATCAGTTCTTACTACCAGAAATCAATAACCAATTACAGGAATAGCTAAGGACTAGCAGCTGAATAGAAACTATCAGCTGTTTTGACATAGATTTATAAAAGTGATTTACAAACCATTGCCACAAAATAGTGATGCAAACCTCAGGGGCTCCATATCTTCATGATGTTCAGTCATTCACAACCTATGAAGCATGAGCTAAAACTCAGTCCTAGTGGTGGACAACGGGCATAAATTCTAGCAGGCTGAGTTTGAAATGGGCCTTGAAATAATTGACCTCTTACTGTTTTTCTCATTAAAATAGAATTCCACAAAGATATAAGCAGGGACTTCTACCACATTGCAGACTCATCTCACTTTTGTGCCACCTGAGACCAGAGCTCTCTTGTTTGCTTGCTAGACCTTTTAATTAATCACAGCTTTTGGAAAGCCGAAGTCACCCTGGTGATAAGGAAGAGCTAGTAGAGTGAGGAAAGAAGGCTCAGCACCTTTTCCTGCTTGTGATCCAGCTCCTAACCCTCTCCTTTTCCACTCTGGTGCACCCACGTAAGGGGATGCGAAGAGGAGCTCTGCGTACTTCAAAGGGAGATGCAGTGCTGCTGCAGTCCCAATGGATGACAGCTATTCTGAGGACTTTGACAAGCTCAGTGTTTAAGTGCTGTAGACCCAGGTGACAAAACACCCAACTCTGAAAGCAAATCAGGTACAGAAGTTAACTAGCAAGAGCACCAGCTGCAAAGTTTGACAACTGGTGAGTAGAGTGACTTGGATTGGTTTGACCTTGCTCTCTTATTCACCCTTTATTAATTTTGTGGTGAAATTAAAAATAATATCATTCAGCCTTTGCCCTGCAGTGTAGTAAAACTGACTTGCAATTGTTTTCTAATTATTTCCACTTCCATATTACAGCAATGGCAGCCTACCACATTAAAAGAAAGGAGAAAAAAAAAAAAAAAAGGCAGGAGGACTTACAGAGTTATCTTTCACCAGAAGAGCACAGCACTGGATTCCTGCCAACAGCATTTTATGGGGATTCCAGGCGACAGAATCAGCCCTGCAAAATTTATAAATAGAAGAAGGGAGATGGAAATTGCACCTATAATCATTGGTACTAGAGAATCAAACACAGCCAACACAATCCAAGCAGACAAATTGGATTTCCCATTTTTTTCACCCAAACCCCCATAGATTCAGATATTTCTCTAATTAGTATTAATATGTATTTTGGAAAATGCAGCTCTCCTGGAGGCCAACAGGCCACACAACTTCCACCTCAGTCTCTGGTAAATGTGCCCATGAACTAAATTGACTTACCTGTGGATGCCATGAAGAAGTCTGCAATGCTTCCTCGATATCAAAGCTGAGCCACCCCAAGAAGCCTGTTGGAACATGTACAGAGCCAAGACAATATTATTTGTATAAAGTTATATTGATCATGTTTCAATTATTAATTTCTGAAGATGTTTTATCTCATTTAAAAATTAGTTTACTAAACAGTCAGTGGACTAAATTTTGCTTTTAGTATCATCTACTGAAATAAAGATGGCAGTCTGGGGCTATGCCTAAAATAATGGCACAAACCATCAGCTCCTCCGTGAGCCACAGACTACACTGTCCCTTCTCAGTAACCAAGGAGATGAACTGAAGTGCTCTCCCACAACCAGACCCATTCCTGATAATGAGCCACAGGTGCTTCCTTTCCCCCAGCCTAAACCTAAGCAGAGAGAGCAGAAAACCTCCTTTTGCATATCTTCTTCCTGCTAGCCATTTCCCTTCTCAGACATTCACAAGGGAAACAGTAGAGAATGACAACCTCTAGTCAGATTTTCCACAGAGTCTGGATAGAAAAAGAGAAGTAAGTGAGTAGGAAACAGCAGCATTTCTGTTACCAGCAATCCAACTAACATTAAAATGGAGTAAGACTCATCACATCCCCTTCAGGTCAACTAAGAACTTAGTGTGTGGTCTCAGAGTCATTTAAGTTACTGTAGTAAGGAGCTCTCCACTGAACCCCCTTTATTGAGCATCATCTATTCTAGATACCTGTCTTTGGGTGACACCTTTTGCAGATGTCTCTCTCCATAGACTATAGAAGAAACCCAGACAACAAGCTTTTATTACACAAGTTTAATTTCTGGGCAACTGGAGTTAGGGAAGCTGATCCTCACCCAAGAATTCTGCAAGGATCAGATTTCACCCACCAGGTGCTGTGAATCTTGAGTTCTCAAAAAACAGTATTGTTTGAGAATACTGTTCTAAATATTCTCCAGGGGAGAGGTGGGGAGAACATGCAAACAGTGGACATGTCATGCAGCACATTTAAGAAATTATTATTAAATATGAAAAAAAAAAAAGGATTTTCAATGTTCAAGCAGGCAGAACCCACTTAAGGAAATTCCCTGTGAAGTAAGCAAGGCTCCTCAGAGACGCACAGGAGGCATTAGTCCACAAAACATTTGGTCTCAGCTTATTTTAAAAAAACATTAATATATTTGGGTTAATGAAAAAGAAAAAAAAAAAAGAAAAAAGGAAATCACAGTGGAAAGATTCCTGACCTAAGCATGGAGAATACACACTTATTTGGTTTTTGTTCTTTTTTTCTTGAAAGAAACAGATGTAATAGCTGATCTATTAATTTAGCATCAGTATTTGCTTCATAGGCCATACATTAGGAATAAGATTGGGGAGACAGGAATCATAAAGGCTCACAAAGGAAATGAAAGGTTAATAACTTGTCTTAACACGTCATTCTCATTAATGCAGTACATTAATGCACCACATCATATTTTATGTTGTCATGCTCATCCTTGCTGAGGAAAGGGCTGCTGCTTAAATCTACAGGTGGGACCTAAGGAAGAAAATAATTTGTCTCAAACCTCATGGTAATCCTGTGGCAGAACTATAACTTGAAACTGTGTTTCTCCAGCCAGACCAAATTTGCCATGTTATGGGAAAACAATCAAACCAAATTTCCTATTCATAGACAAATTTTACTCCTCTCATTTGATAATTAAATAAACACAAGTCACTAAATTATTCTGTGATTTTCGTAATTTATAAGCAACTCACTGAAATATAATAAATCTTTATGAAATTCACATCCGAAGGCGTCTGTACATGGAATGGTATTACTAGGTGTCCAGGCATTTCCACCACCTTTCAATTTCTCCTTGAGCCACAGTACTACGAGAAGAATTTGTGTTCCATGCCTCTTTACCCAGTTCAGAGACCAAGCACTTAGGGATCTAGGCTGGCAAAAACCGAAAAGGAATGCCAAAGCACTTAATAAGACTGTGTATCACTGGCTTTGTCTGTTTTTAAAGACCTCTAATGATTGAAGCTACACAGCTTAATCACTTAATTTGCATTTAAAAATAACAACACTAAGGATTTAAAATGTCAGTCCTAAACAGTGCTACCTCTTGTCATATCTGCCATGGTCAGGGGAACAGATTATTCCTTTTCTTTTTGCAGCAGCTTTTAAATAATCTGTAGAATATTAAGTATTGTCTGTTTGTCTTTTCTGCTTTAAATAACATGAGTCCTTTCAATCTTTCCTTATTGGTCATAATTTCTCAGTATGGTTTATGTTTCTGGGTATGTTTGCCCTCACTGCTCTACTTTTCCTTATCTATCTTTACTGTAGGTCCTTAACCTTCTTGAAACACAGCTTTTTTATTTGGACACAATCTAGATAAAGCAGATGGAGCACCAAGCAGAAAGAGACAATTATTTTATGTATCTTCTTTATTCAATTCTGAAAGACATTTAACTCTCTCTGAAAAGGCTTACAATCACTGATTTGCGATGTACTGCAAGGCCCAGATCTTCTTCTGAAGATCTGCTGTCTAGCCAACAATCCCCAGCCTGTGTTTGTGCAGTTGATTATTACAGCTTAAACTTAGAGCTCTGTCTTTATTGAACTGTAGCCTACTTTTTCCACTTTTTTCTCCAAACTGTCAAGATCTCTTTGATTTCTAATCCTGTCCTCCCACTGCCTCTTGCAGTTTTATGTCATCTTCAAATTTAGTCAGCATATTCTTTTTCATCTCCCGTTAATAATGAAAATACCCAGATAACTTCTAACCTAGAATGGACCTTTGTGGAATCCTGCTCAAAATTTTCTCCCCTTTCAGCAGTGAACCACTGGTAACTGCTCTCTGGGTACAATTTTCCAGCCAGATTTTCACTGACTGCCACAGCTGCAGCTCGGCACAGTTTCTCTGGCTTTCAGATGAGATATTGCCAAGACACAATAAATTTAACTGCTTCTCCTCCATCCATGAGACTAGAGAAGGGAGGTAGATGGATCAAACTAGATCAACACATTTTGTTTATGACAAATCCAGCTGAGAGCAATGTAGCTCAAAACACAAAGTTAATTATTATAACTACATCCCATGCAATGTAATGGTAACTAGGTATGAGAAAATGACTGTGTTTCATATGCAACGAACCACTTACAGCTGAACAATGGGAATCACAGTGTTTGCAGTGTGATTAAACTACCTCCCTAAGCACAGGCTAATAGGTCAAACCTCATTTTCTGTACTGGTCTAGCCATAGGAATAAAATAGTCAAAGTAAGGCCCAGCTGGGAAGAAGTACTCATACATAGTATTTAAAGCTACATGAACACAGTACACGACATACATAAGTGCTGGAGCTTGAGTGCATATTGATGATGCAAAACGAGTCATTAAGAAAGGCATCATAGATGTTATGATAGAATGCAATAAACAACTGGAATGTGGGCATGACTACTATAATGTACAGAATATAAGCTTGGCTATAGCCTCTGCACTTAGGCTGTTGAATGGCTTGACTGTTGAGACAGTTTGGGCTTACTGGTATTATCTTCTTAAAAAACCTTTTTCCTTAACTCCCTTTTGTCTTTGGGTTTGTCTCCATGTGAGAGCTTATCTTCTATTTCTTTATTGAAATTTATCTTCCCAAGCCCACTGATTTTATGTTGATGTTCTCCCTTTTGCCCTCCCTAAGAATCATGAGCTTTATCATTTCATATTTAATGAAAAGAGTCTCCCTAAGGCAAATATATCAATGTTCAGGATCAGAAAATATTCTGAAATGAGGTACATCACTGCAAATCTGGGAACACCACTACTGACATTCATATAACATACTCTTATAAACAGCTCTTGAGACCATTTGCAGTAGATAATCCTGATTCCCATCAACGATACAGGATCCTAAATTAGACAGAACTTCCCGTTTTGAATCTTTGTAGGAAAAAAGATACAGTACAATCAGAACAGTGTTACAGCTGGCCCAAACAGCAGTACTCACTTGCTATAACTCAGACTGCATAATGTGTAAACCATTCAACAAGAAGCCAAGCCTTTCAGAGGAATGTAGATCCTCAAAGCTTTCAAAAATATTATATTCTTGCCTATAAGGCTAGAAGCGTTAGGCTTGCTTAAAAACTAAGAAAAAAATCCAACTCTTAACTATGTTTCTTATACACTATTTCTGAATGGCAGATGCCTGGTCTCACTATACATTTTCACATATTATTCTGGTAATCCTATTTCTAATGGAGCTGTGAGTGAAAAAAAGGTTACAGGAATTAGAGCCTGCTCATTTTGCCATAGCACATTTGTATATACATGTATGCCTGATAACATTTATGTGGAAAGCTTTCAGTCTCTTCCCCATACACCATTCTCATATAAATAGAGCTAGAAACTATAAATAAAAAATAAGAAACAGCCATCCATTCAACTCTTCCTAGAAGAAGAAAGGAAAGATGGAAAAAAATACCGACAGAACTCGCAAGAACTCTTGAGAGGTTCATAACCTGGATCACATCTTAACAGAACAATTGGTCTTTCAGACTATAAATGCAATTTATTACTGTACCTTTGTCCTTCTGCTAGGAATCAATTAACATCTGACAACTACAGTCACTGTTCAAACAGAAAATTGACTTTAAGATATTCACTGATATTTTTACCTTAGCTTATCATGAGGCAAAGCTGGAAGCTGAAAGTTAATTCTTTACAAAATACTATCAACTGCCTATGAAGTACAGTTCAGAATATGGTCCAGGCTCATCCCACCTAACTTTAGTTATTCAGCTACAGGGAGGAGGTTAGGAGACTACCCATTGTCCTCCTGCAGCCATTGGAGATGGCTCCAGCCATGTCTATTCAACTCACCCAAGATCCAACACAGATTCTGAATACATACCTCTGTCCATCAACTATATTTAGACATACAAGAGACTGGTGCCTATATGTGAATGCTGCACATCTGCTGAAAATCTGCTGCCTTGCTCTCACCAGCACACAGCCATGAGGAGGCTTTGCAGACACTTTAAATACTAGGGCTAAATTCTTCATCTTTGCCTCCAAGTCAATAAGAAAACTTTTGACTCGCACATACAGCAACTTTATTAATGTCTGAGTCATTTATTTGAAGTGCACATTCCTGCCTACGTGATTTTTCTTTAAATACTTCTTTAAACAAGCACTTGAAATATTTAGAGCAGGTCTAAAAATCTCCATTAATGTTGCTCCAGGTTCTCTCATTGCTCCATGGCTTTTAGTTTAGCCATTCTGGATTAGTGGCATTGCAATTATAAAGAGAACGCAATTTCAGAAAACATGAAGAGACCAAGTTTTAGAAAAATACATTTACAGCTAACTCTTTCAGGTAATAAAAAGGCTCAATGATTATTCAAAAAAGATTCGTGACTGGATTTTAATATCCAAACCTAAAATTATAAAGAAATGAGAAAAGAAAAATTCCTGAACAATTTAGGAAAACTTAAGGAGATCTACAAGAAACTCAAACCTGTAAATATGAAACAGAATAATTTACAACTGGTTGAGTCAGAAATATACTTTTATTTTAAGCTATATGACCCATATACCACAATTCTAATGTGTCCACTCTCCAACAGAATGTGGAATGAATCTGAAGTTATTATTGTATGTAATCACCCTTGAAGCATTTTTAGGAGGTAGTAAGAAGGAAGAAATTGATTTTGAAATCATTTTGAAATATATCCTGACAATGGAAAAATAGCTTTGACTGCTTGTCACAACCAAATTATTTGCTGGTTTTCAACACATAGAACAGAGACAAATTTCTGTTCTCTATGCAAAAAAAAAAAAAAAAAAAAGTTATTAGAACCCAACTAACTCCTACAGAGAAATATCAACAGTCAAAGAAAAACAGCAATTATAAAAAAGCAATGCTAAACAAAACTACACAGTATACAAACTCACATCAACATGGAGCCAGAGGCCATGCTTTTCACATATATCGGCAATTTTATCCAGAGGATCAAATGCTCCCAGCACTGTTGTGCCTGCTGTAGCACAGACAAGAAATGGTGCTGACCCCTGCAATAGGATTCAAAACAAAAAATTGTCATTTGCACTGCGCATTTCCTCCAGTGTATCTGCAAAGCTAAAATATAAAAAGGACTAGGAATACAGAACAAAGATGTGACAGTCTACATTTTAGTTTCCCAGCAGAAGGTACTGCATTTAAAAGTGCTGACTTCAAAAAAAAAAAAAAAACTTTAAAAAGCAGCATTTTCCATTTCCAGTTAACACCATCCTCCCAGGGCAGATTTCACCAGTTTCAGACTGTTTTGACAGATGCTAGTTTTGTCACGATCAAAACATATGAGATATTTGACATCTCTCTCTATACACTGATTTTCATTTCTCAGTCTTCTACATTTTACTACCATATTTGCCGTCGACTAAAAAATAAAGCTACTAACTCAGCCAGCAGGCTGCTCATGCAAGGAAAGGGCTCATTCCTCCAGGGGCTCCACCTGTGTTGTCTATCCAATGCCCCTATTCTCTGCCTGGTGAAGAGGAACCTTTAGTCAGGGAACATGATTTGCCGTAGGCAGCACTGGCACAACACATACAGCCACTGGGACAGTCATCGCTAACTGACCCCAATGCCTGCTCTACAGCAAAGCACAATTCTCTTGCTCCTGTGTAGAAAATAGGAAGGGGTGTAGACAGGAACCGAGCAGCAGGAGAGAGACCACTGGAAATAGCAGACAGTTTTGAAGTTAGACAGCTGGGATAAGGAAAACTATCATCAGGTGGTAGAATCAGACAATCTTCACAAGCCATCCATTTTGGTTTCAGTGGCTTTGCTCAGGGCTTTCCCATTCAACTAATACCAGGGGTGCAATGACAACAGCAGACTAGGGCATACACAGACTAGGTCATATACCCCTGCGGATGTATGTGCCTCTGCCTACTTGGGAGCAGAAACTGAAACAATGAAAAGAATTGGTGGAGTCTATAACAACTCCATGGAATTAAGGGCGTCAGCCCAAACAATGACTGTGTGGTCTCACTTGCTGGTAAATATATGCTGAAGGAACTCCTCTGCACGTTTCATCATCTGGCCCTCAGCATGTCAACACAGTTACTGAAAAGGCACTAAAGTTGTATTAAATTGTACAATCTGGGATCCCTGGAGTTCATTTGCCATGAATTAAATCTCTCAGATGATACAAGTCTCTCTGCTGATGTAACTCAATCTAGCTTCACTGAAATCAGACATCAGCTGAAAAATCAAACTCTACATGAGTCTTATGCATCTTCACTTCAGCTGAAATCTGATCTCTCTCATTTAAAAAAAAAAAAAAAAAAGTGTTGCCACTTTTGAACATCTACCTACAGAGACAGGCTTGAATCACGTTTACACTCTGACAGTTTTATACTTCTTTAACAGTATAGAAGACTGTCAGAATCGTTCATAATTATGATTTATTTGTATTTTAAAATTTCTTTACAAATTGCTGAAGCAGTGAAAAGTAACCTTGGAGTGAGTTTAAATTAATCCCATACATTCACAAAGAATTACCAGCCTATAATTCTCTTCTTGGTAATTCATTCCTAGTACAACCTACCACAAAAGTCAATCAAACTTACAAACCAGCCAGAAGCTCAAGTACAAAACGCTTGCAAGCGACACAAGGATATATTTGCTGCACCAAGTTTCTGTTAGCTTTCTCATCAATTTTCTCCCACAGCTATATCAAAGTCAAAGGTCCCCAGCAGCCAGTAGGTAACATGACTGAGTATGGGGACAAGTCTAGGATCTCCACAAATTCCAAAGATCGTTACCATTACATTTTTCCTGCAAAGAAGGGAATTATACTTTTATTCTTACTAACAATATAGTTAAATAAATCTTCCTGACTAAATTCTCTAAAGAGGCCTAAGATTCTTGTTATCATAGTCAGCGATCATTTTGTGCTCCTATCACTAGCTAATACATCCTCTGTTGTCTAGAGTCATTAGATTGTTTACTGTAATTCACTCAAGTGTCTTTCTATAAAAGTTGTAAAGTAGCGCTTTATCAAGGACAGACACACTTACTGAAACTCTGATGAAATCAGAGTTTGAAAAAAACCCTTCCAATATACCTGTAACTTTCATTAAAATGCAACTGAAATAGTATTCTCCTGTAAGCCAAACTTTATAATATAGAACATTAGTTTTTAAATTGCAGAGCACCATACTGAGGTTGACCTTTTTATAAAAAAAAAAAAAAAAAAAAAAAAATCATAGATACCAGAGGATTTCTTTCAAAGAACTAGTAAATTCATTGTTACATCAACAAATAAGAATTCTGTTTTTGCAAGAATAAAGAGCTCGTTCTCCTGTCAGCCTGCTTCTTCTTGCTCTATTTTACTTCAGTCCTTCTCCCGTCACCCCCCCAGGTTGTTCAAATGAGAAAGTACAGGGTGTCTTCCACAGATAACGTGAAGTACAGAAAGAGGCAAGCATGAGAGTTCGCTAGGTCATTAGGGCCACCAAGTATCAATAGTTACTCTATCTAGCATGAAACTCAAAGAAGAGATGGTTGTTTGGCAGATGATGTATCTTAATCAGATCTTAGTGAAAGCTGTTGTGGCCATGGCAGTGCATGACAAGAGAGCACTGCCTTGGCTTTCCTATCAGCCACAAATCTGGGTTTCTCAAGGTAACATTCCACAGTAGGCATCATCCACACCATGGACATTACACTAATTGCTTGGTATTCACAGATTGTGGACCAAGGGCTGAGATCTGAATTCTACTGCTTTGATGGACAAACTGGAAGTGAGAAATAAGGTGAGGTAATCAAGCAAAAAGAAGATGCTCCATGTCTTAGAATTCACATTCAGTCCTCCAAGCTGTCTAAAGTAAGTTATGTTGACTATATTAAGTGCTTACAGATTGTGGGAATGTATGTTAATGTTGTTGAAACACACACATGAGTACATTTCCAAATGCTGGCCTTTGACTTTCTACTTGGTAAAGTTCCTGGGGGGAAAGGGGCACAAGATGGCATCCCTGCACTTTTTCTACAATGCCAGAAAGGACCAAATTTAGCACTTTTAGCTTGCATCATAGTTTTAGAGACTAAGCCACATGCTACAGATCTTGCTCACTGTAGAGGACAATAGCTGATGGAATTACTGAAAAAACTACAGTTTTCATTTACCATTTAAGGAAAACAAATACTGCATCCATTTAAAAAAAGGATCAAGGGCAAAAAGAGATCCTAGAAGAAACAAGGTAAATACTTCAGAACAGTGTTTTACTCAGAACTTTCATTAGTAGTAAATACCCTGCAGAATTTTTCTCCCTCATAAGAGTGTAGAACCTAAAAGTCTTGACTTGTTTCACAAGTTTGTGGCAAAAAGATTGCACCTGTAAGAAAGACACTGTTAGATTAACTGCCCTATTTTTAAGATTTCACTCACTCAGTTTTCCTTCCTTTCACTCAGACACAAGGACACAATCTGCATACACTCTTCCTCTCTCTCCCCCTCTCACCTCTTTCCTCGCCCGCTGGACTTGTTTCTCCAGTTCCTCAGGTATCATCTTACCTCTAAGGGACACAGATTTAAAACTTTTTCAGTTACATTCAAATAGGTTGGTTATGTACAGCACTACTGTATTTTAAAAAGCCTCAGAGAGCACAGCCATGGCTTTTGCTTGCTTACCTTTCATCTGTTTTGATGAAGTAAACATTCTCCGTACCAATACCCAGGAAAGAGGCTGCCTTCTTCATGGAGTAATGACACTGTAAATGAAAGAGGAAGGAAAAAAAGTGAGTACGCAACTAAAACGAAAGAAAAATTCCTTAGTATAGGGAACAGTGACACTGAAAGCTAACAGTCATGACAACAGCATATCCTAGCACAAAAAGTAAACTGACAAAGCTACACAGCACCAAGACCATCTTCCATTTAACAATTAATGCCACACACTGAAGGCTGGGGAAAATAAAACACAAGAAGATGTGCACCTGCACATGGATATTTAAAAGGTGAGCTTAAAAAAAAATAAAAAGCTTTGTTCCATACAATTTTTTTAAAGCTGGGTCTACATTAGAATGAAAAATAGAAATTTTGAAGTGTCATCAGGGAAGAATTAATTGTTTCAAGATGTTTTAATAGAACTGAGCCAAAAGAATCAATGAGTGTAAGAGTCAGGAAACGCAAGAGAAGAAAGGTCCAAAGGCTACTGAACTCAATAGCCTAGAAGCAACCCATAGGTCTGAAACTCCAAAAGCACCACTCCTTGGAAAATAGATCCTTAATTAGGGTGTATTTATGATATATATATAAGGCTTTTATCACTTTATCCTTGTGATTTTTCTATATGCTTTCTCTAAACATCAGCTGTTTTCCACTGCCTAAGAGGATACTATACTAAACTGACCTTTGGCCTGATCCAGCAACTTTGTTCATAGGATCAAGGAGCTCAAGTCCCAGTTCTTACCAAAGTCTTGTGGTACAGCTGGGACTTCCAAGGCTTTCAAAGCCCTGTGTCTGCAGACAGACCCAAAAATCTCGGTCTTTAGATATATCAAGGTTGTTCAACTGAATGTGGATCTTAGTAGCCATTACAAAAGCAAGCAAACTTTAGACTGGGTGTAAGCACATCTTCAAAAGTCTTTAAATAAATATGGATTTTGCAAAAGGTTTGAGTCTGGACCAGCCTGCACTTTCCAGAAAATGAAGCTACTGTTTCAGCAAACTATTTTAGCTAGGTTTTGTCACAGAGGCATCTTTGAATGATTACAAATATACACAGCCCACTTTGCATTGAATAAAGGGCATTACTGTATGAAACCTTGAAGTAAGTGTAAAAGAAGAGACTCCTTCACCTGCTTAAATAATGTTAGAAACAGGTGTTTTATTAAATCAGATTGTGGTAAAATGGCTCTGGTGAGAAGGATAACCAAGCATACAGTACAATCCATATTTTTTTTACAAGTTTTTCTTCTGTTAAACAAATAGTCAAGGTATATCTTACCATATTTCCAACATTCACTTCTATAAGGACCTGCTCTATGGTGGATGCTGTTAATCTAGCGTAAGAACATTTTGTACTATTCCAGAATAAGAGTATGCTGATCTCAACTTAATCCATCTTCAAGATTAGCCTGGGAACTCAAGATACAGTAACCTTCTTAATCTGGAGTTATTTTTAAATGTCAAGACCACTGTGAACAACCTGCAGCATGCCAAATGCCTACTCGTTCACAGCAATGGAGTCAGTTTTGAGACTATGCAGCACCTCATAGGACTACACAGTTCTCAGAATCAAGATCATCCAAGCCTTGGTTTACCACTGCTCTTCTCAAAAAATAAAATTGGCTCTTTTTCACATTATTACTGAAGAGTTAAAATAACCATATTCCAGCAACCGTGAAGATGTCTAGAATTGTTACTTTTCATACAGGAGGTGAAGCCAGGTGGTTAATTAATTCCATTTTCTTCCAGAGAGTTCACACAAATGCAGTTACTTCAGAACATAATTATGAAAAATGTACAACATTTTAATGTGTGGGTATGAATATATTAACGGTATTAAAGCCTGTCACGCTTATTTTGATGAGATGGATGATCTCAAAGGGCTCTTTTTCTTTTTGACAAGAAGGTTTCCCCCACTATCACCTACTTTTAAAATAAAGGCATACAAAACACTGCCTGATACTATAAAGTAGTTTTAAGAAAGCTTATTTTTGTAACATGACACATCCACAGAGCCATTAGGGCTCATTCATTTAGACTTCAGAATAATAAGATACATAGGTGGATAATTAGTCTTACATTACATCAAATTAAATCAATAATGGTAATAATGATTGTAGAGCTACTGTGTGTTGTTCAGTAGAGTTTGGAAACGTTTTCAACCGATTAGTGAATCATTTAAAATACAAGTTGCCTCCATCACTGATTTCTATCCATTAGATACAAATGAAAGGTATGAATCACCAGGAATAATAAGATTGTTCCAAACTGAGAAACAGTAGACCTGCAAATTCAGTATACTAGTAAGCAGGCAATCACCAAATCATGTATTTTATTATAAAAAACGGTATGGGAGACTGGGAGAAAGATAAAAGAGGCTTGAGCCTCTTTTGAGAGATTATACCAAAAAACAGAGGGAAAGGCAAGAATAAAGGGAATATCAAAACAAAACAGGCTGCTACCTCCACAGGTACTTCCACACCTCTTGGAAAATATTGTCAGGTCTTCAGTAGGACAGAAAAGGGATAAGAATTATAATGCTACATAGACTTGGAATACACTGTCTTTGATGAAAAAAGTAGTCTTTCAATTATATTGATTGAAAACAGACAAGAATTTGTATTTTTTTTTCCTGCTATCATTACTAAAAGCCGTTATGCTAAATTACACCACAGCATTAAAAAAAAAAAAAATAAACCAGAGAATATTTAGCAGCTGCAGTGCCAACTAATTCTCTTCTTCATAATTCTCTTTCAAAAAAAAAAAAGGTATTATTTGTATCTAGATTATATACACAATTTTAAATAACAAGTTTGAATATTGTGAGTTCAGATGACTCTTGCCTTGCCTTTTGCAGTTCTGTTTGTTTGGACACATTATTAAATCTGTTGCCATTTGTAGTAAGAAATGAATGCCTTTGAGCACAAGATCAAATTGGAATAGTGCATTTAAGATTTGCTGCCATACTATTTTAACTATAGCTAGACACAGTTTTCTTTTCCTAATAACATTTGCAAAGACAAGATACTTTCCCTGTGCGCTCATTAAAACAGAAGATAAATTTGTATTTTCTTGATTTTGAAAAGTTTCCTAGAAACATGATTGCATAAAGCAATTACACTATTATGAGATTGTTTTATTACTCATTTTTGTCTGTTGTAATTTCAACAGGGGACAGCATGGTGAGTTAATGTTGTGTTCTCTCACTTTATTACTTTCATGATCAAGTTGCACTGGGGAGGAATTGAGTTTCATTGCATCTGAAAAACTGCTCATATCAGCATGCACATTTCAACTGTTTACACATCCTCTTCTACCCTCAGTTACCTCAAATTCAGCAGATTTCTACCTTTCAGATCAATGCAATACATTCTTGGGTCAGAATAAAGTTCAGATGAGACCCAAATAGCAAGAAGTGATAAAAAGGTAGACTAACTACAACAGCTCCTACAGAGCCACAAATCATGCCTCAAGAAAGTGAAATATAGCAATTTCTCTACAACTGCTACTGTATCAGGAGAAATCACTCTGTAATGGTCCAGCAAGAGAAGTATGGAGTAGTAGCATAAACATCATTCATTGTGTATCAGCATAATTTTAAGGAGCTAAGCATTTTACTTGCAGGAACAAAGGGAATTTGGGTAGGCCATACATTAACCAGACACTTGCACGTTATCCAAGAACATGCAAAAAATACAGCTCCAGATCACATAAAATTAAGTCACTGGCAAGTCCGTGCATTCCCCTGCTCTACAGCAAGGAATTCTTTCAGTCTGCCAGGTGCCAGACTGAAACTTTGGGACTTGGCAACTCAAGGCAAAAATAATTTCATTTGAGCACAGTGTTGAAGCCAAGCCCTAAAACGACACAAGCGCTTTAAGCAGCCATGTGTTTTGACTCCTTATCGATACTCTCAGTTCATTACAGCCTTGTGCCTTTTCCAAGCCAACACTGTTATCCTGATTCACTTCAACAGAAAACAGCATCTTCAGGATGATTTCTTTCATCATTTGCCTAACCAGTGCAAAACACATCTATGTCCTCCAGGACAAACACCAAAAAAAAGTAACTCAAAATAAAAATAAATAATATAAAACAAAGAGCGTGGCACAAGCACTTATATACTTTTTTTCAGTGTGGGCCATTCACTAAATATATTCTCAATAATATCATATATCTGAACTAAACAAACTTCTAAAAGTTAATGTTAACTTGGACTCAGTACAAGTGGACCTAACATAAGGATACATAAATATGCACATCTTGTCCCTCACAATCATGAATAAATACTAGATATCTCAGGCAATAGTCCCAACTACTAAAAATGGCAGTTTTATAGCAAGTGATTACTGAGTACAGAAGACAATATGGTTTTGTGAATCAAGCAAAGTATTAGAGATCAAAAGCATTGCCTTACAAATAATTTACGGATTTGTTTTTCCTTGTCAGTTGTACGTTTTATGGTTTGGGTGTTTCTGGTGAAGCAAAGATGCCAAAATAAATTTATTTTGTGAATCAAATAGAATTTGTCTTGTCATTAAATTAAATGCTTGTTTACTTTTGAGTAAGAGGGTGTACTTTTTATTTAAATCTCAGAATCAGATCTTGCAACTTCATGACAAAAATTCTACATGCTTCATCTCAAAAGCGTTAAATGTTTCAACCTCATTTTTTCTTCCTTAGCTATTTTTTAAGATATAGCATGATGGATTAAGTATGAACTGGCATGTCATTTCATATACACACTTTTCAGAAAGAAAAAAAACAAAACTAAATACATTTTGCCTGGAAAAAAATCCCTTATTTAGGACATCTGGATTCCGTTCCAAAATATATGTGCTGTCTTGGACAACTTATGCAATACCTTCATCCCTCAGGCTTCTTCAAAATAAGCCTCTCTTGTCTATTTACACTGCAAACTGTTTGGAGCATAAACTTAAAGCTAAAATTATTTTGGTAACTATATACTCCCTACTACAATAAGGTTCTCACTTCCACTGGGACCTTTATACAGTGGAGTCAGAATTAATAACAATTCTGTACTAATCAAATGATAAACTCTTAAAATTTCAGGTTAGAGAAGAAAACCCTATTAAAAAAATAGATTTGGAATAAATGTATGAATGTAACTCAACTTTCCACAGGCAGTTCAAACAGAAATAATTCAAAAACTTTAACACTAGTCACACATATTCAATTATTTAAAGAAGAACTATCTAAAGATCCAGCACGCTTTTCCAAAATGCTTTAGAGTGGTTTTGGTTCTCTACCACAGCCAGTCTGTACTCAGACATAGGGCAGAGCAAAAGCTGCAGAGAGCTGTCTCACAGGTCCACAAGTGCTCAGATTATTCCAAATTAAGCCTGCAGGAAAAAAACTTTGACATCCAAAACCTACTTATGATTCCTACTAGACTTTATGCTGTGGGAAATCAAATGCTGCAGACTTCCACAACATCCCACATATATTCTGCTACGGCTTTGCCCCACGTACAACCTATTCTTATATCAGCAATTTCCAAGAGAAGGAACACCTGTGTTTGTGTTCTGCAGGCAAAGAAACTTCTGCAGGGAAATTTACCATCGGACTTCTCCACATAGCTCAATATTCCACTACATACACTGATGACAAATTTATTGTACCAGTCCTCCATCAGATATGCAAACAATATAATTTTGAAGCCATGGAAAAATAAAGTTCAAAAATGTTTTTTTGTTTTGCTTTTACCTCTTCTGAAGTGAACAGGACTAGTCTTGGCAAAGCTGAAAGCCCTTTTTCCTTTATCTCGGGACAAAATCTGTATCTTGCTAAGTTCATAGCGTACATATTAGAAACAGAGCCACCTGCAGAGACATACAAATATCAGATTAGCCATAGTCCCAGCACGTGCCTCGTGTCTGAGTGCTTGACCTATCGCGGGAGGCTGGGGGGAACAAACAACACAGAATTAGTCCTTAGCGTGCATCATAGCTCATTTCATCCTCAAGAGCCTACAGACATAACAGGAACTTTGGGCTTTGCAGCCTGCACGGAAACAGAGCGGGTTTGAACACTCTTTGGGGATATTTCCTGAAGTGTGCCCAAACAGAGCGCTCCTCGACAGAGAACACCCTGCACAGCTCCTTCCCATTTACACTGAAGTAGTGCCAGTTCAGCTGCCCCCACCAGGCTCAGCTGCACAGAGTCTAGGAGACCTTTTGGGCAACCAGGCCTCAGAGTGTTATAGGGAGAAAAGGGCCATTATGGGAAAAAAAAAGGAAAAAGTGAGTGAAACAAGAAGATCTGCAAGGTAAGATCTGGGCAGGTTTTATTCACTTAAAAGAGCAAAATAATAGGAAAAAGCCTTACATAAAACTAGTACAAAAAGTACAATTCATTTATCTTTTGACAGTATCTCAGTAAGTTTTAATTAAGAAATTCTGCAGTAGAAGCAAGAAGTCTGCTGAAAACACAAATCAAATCTGACATGAAAAAAAATCCATATAATTAATATATTTAAAAAAAAAAAGGGGGGGGGGGGGGGGTTTTTGTTTGTTTATTTTTCTACTCCTCACATGTAGCTAAGAATTATTGA